TGTTTTGTTTTCTAACTTTATTGGATGGGTTCGGTTTATAAAATTTCTTTTTGGCAAAAAATAAATTTTACAACATTTTCATAAGACATGATAAAATAAGTTTTCCAAAAAGAAATCACCTTAGCTTCTTTTTTTTTTTTTTCAGACAACAAGGTGACATTATTTTAAAAAATTAACGAACAAATGGGGTTAGGGGGAATGTCACGAAAATATTGAACAGATGAGGCATTATTAGTCTTAAAGCGTTAAGTGGGCAGCGCATTACAATAAATTAAGGGGAAGGAGAAATGTTGACGGCCCAGAAGATAATGACTAACGAGTAAGCTCAGAATTGGAGGAAGCCAAGTGCCCAATATTAAAAAAAAAAAAAAAAGAAGATACAGCATACAATAGAGTTTAAAATAGACATGCCGTGTAATGATGGTCTGTTTACCTTTCTTTTCTCATTTTTCTACTGTTTTTACTTATGTTTCAATTTTTATTTCTAAATTTGACTCATTAATATTAGGATTTCATTGCTTCAACGATTTCTTTATTAAAAAGGTCAAAAACGATTTCTTTATTAAAATGTCCCAATAATAATAGCCTAATGGGATTCGGGCATACCTGAAGTGCCGAGTAATCTCAGATTAGGTAGCCACGCGCGGAATTCCGATCACAGTAATGAATAGGAATCAACGTTCACAGCAAATGCACTTTTTGTGTTGGAGGAGGAGAGGAGAAGAGGTACGCAGGCGGGAAGCAGTAAATCGGTTGAATGAATCAGTTTTTTTAAACTGATCCTATCTCTCTTAAAAATAAAACTACCGCCCCGTCTGTCCTTATCCATATTCTGAAGAAAAAATTGCAAATAACTATTTAAGACCCACAGGTTATGTTATTTGCATTAGAGCCCCAAATTTAATGGGCTTGGGCCCAATCCACCAAGGGTGGACTGGCCCATTTTCCTACACTTGACATGATAAATTTTAGTATAAAAATTAACAATTTCTTACTTTTTATTAAAAAAATTTAATAATTATTTTTTATTGAGATTTTATGGTAATTCTCTCTCCCCGGCGGGTCCGCCACCCAAAAGAAGAGGGACAAAGCAAACAGGCAAATGCTTCCACCGACAGCATAGGCAAGCAAACTAAAACAAATGGTTGGGTCGGAGCCTTAAAAGCCTTTTTCTTTCTTTTTAGGAAAAAAGATTAAGCAACTAATATGGACGGGAAAAGCTCGCCCCTCATAATATGATAAATTAAAGTTTAAATTTCTGTGAGAAGAAATGCCTATATTTAATCTTTGACAATACTTCAAACAAGATTATTTTCGATCAGAGTGCATACAAATTTAGTTAAAAAATAATAAGATCGAGCCAGGTTTTAGGATGTGTTTGAACTAATTCTCTAACTAGCTCCCTCCTATATACATTTAGGACGTAACAGAGTTTCTATTAATATTAAGAAAATTACTCAAGATTAATTTTTCAAAAAATGATGGCAACTTTCATAGTTTACCTGCATGGCTCCCTTTTGATGTGCGTTTTGTCACTGGATCTCTCCATTTCTCTTTCGTACCAATCTCCCAAATGGGCTCACTGAACTACATCTCACTTCGGATCCAATAATCTTTAGACAATCCAATAGCCCAACATCTTAGCCCAAAAAGAGGAACAATGCCAAATGTACATAAATTTTTTTTGCCTTTGTCCGTTTCAACCCTCTCTTTGTATCCCAAAAAAACAAAAGTTCGAATTCTCATTAGAAGATGTACATATATATAATAAAAAATAGTACAATAAATAGGATTGTCTAACAAAAAAAATTATGATAAAAAAAACTTTGTATGTACGCAAAAAAAATAATTTAATTTAACTAGAAAAAGTTATAATAAAAAAATTAGGGAGAATTGCTATGAGGTATAAAAAAGAAAGATAATTATTAAAAATTTTCAATAACAAGTGAGTAGTTAAAACTTGTTATTATTTCCTATTTTGAAACTTATCATTACAAGTTACTCAGTTTTTATAAGATTCTTTTGTGAATACGTTCATTCTTTGAGACCTTTGAGACCTTGTTGCAATTCTCTCAAAAAATTATTCTACAGTATTATTATGATTTTTAATATCACATTCACGGGTATTATAATTTTATTATAAAAATTGTAGAATAGTTTGAGAAATGAGCATGATGAAATTTTCTCCGGATGTCGTTTTCTTTTGGCTTTAATTTACTGGACGAATATATTAACCGGAAATTCTTAACTTTATTGTTTAAGCAATGAAGGCAGCTTATAAATTCAACTGATCCGATCAATATGAGATCATCAATTTTATTACTGATTTGATATATTTTTTTTTGCAAAAAATAAAACTGACGCTACCATAAGCAAACAACTCCAAACACACACACACACACACACACACACACACACAAGAGAGAGTCAGGTTACCTTCTACTACATTTATTAAATACAAGAGCTAATTGAAGAAATTTTTTTAACTCTAAATATAAGACCTTAATCTATTTTGTCTCTTAAATCTGTAATCATTTTTCCAAATTCTCCTCACACATATTGAGAGGTATGGATTAAGAGGTAATTTTCAATGCAAATAACTATGCAGATACTTCAGGAAAATTAACATATCATATTTTATACAAATAACTAACATAACTAATTTTTTTCAATTTTTATAAATTAGTTAATTAATTCTAATATTTACTACGGGAGCGACTATTATGACTTCTTATACCTCTATTTCTGGTTGCAATGTCAGCACCCTCTAATCTTTCTCAATAACTTCCTTCTTTCTCTGAGGAATATGCCCACCTTTTGTTTGTTCCAATCTGAAGCTTCTAAAGTGAATCTATCAGTAATTATAACAATCCAATCTTCACTACTCCATCAGCTTTCTCTGATAATATCCACAAAACATCGGATGTCTTGCAGCATACCGATAGCGTTCCACCACCTCATCTTTTAGAAGATTAATGGTTCTATGATCAGACCCAAACATACATAAATCATATGGAAAAAATAAAAATTTGGGCATGCATAAAATGTTAACTTAGTAGTTTTTTTGTTTGTTTGTTGCAAATGTTAATGACAGATTATATTAACAGGATCAGAAGCAGATATATCGTTTTGATCTGCACACACACACACACACATATTATGAACAAGCTAAGTAATTCTATTTAATTTCTTTTGTCATACAATTGGACCTAAAATCCTTAATCAAATACTCCTCCGGTCCTTAATATAAGACCTATTTAACTAATTTAATTAGATTAAAGAAGTTAGGTAAGTTAGTTAATTATAAGAAATGTGACACATTTTTCCTAAAATACCATAATCATCTTTCTTAATACCCCCTCTCCCTCTTCTACTTGATTATGGTTGAGGGAACATCCATAGGGTTAATTTAGAGAAAATTTATAAATATGAGAAATGGGTCCTATATTAAGAATCAGAAGAGGATATACTACCTCCGATCCTAATTATAAGAGTCAGTTGACTAATTTGAGAAGATTAAGGAAGTAAGTTGAGTTAGTTATTTATCCTCAATAGGTTTTGTCTTTCCTAAAATATCCTTGCTAATCAAGTGTATTGACTAGAACTATCATTATTAGAAGGGCTACTTTAAAAAAAATGTATAAATATAAGAGACAAAGTGGATTGGGATCTTATATTTAGAATCAAAATAAAAGTCAAATAAGGTCTTATATTAAGGACCGGAGGTAGTATTATATATGTGCGTATGTATAAATTGCGTCGTCGATCACCTTTGATCTCGTGACACTGAGGAAGATGCAGTCTTATGATTTTGTGTCTAATGTTTAGATATTTATTATTGTGTGAACAGAAAGAACAAGGGAGGTAGATGCTTCATCATGCAGGGTAAACCTAATAATTTGGACTACCAATTCGTACGATCGAATTGAACCCTAAGGTTAATGGTGTGATGGAAGGGGGCGATTCAATTTCCCATATGAGTGGGGCCCTATCCCTGTGGCGACAACGTACACAGACCGTCCATGACGATAACTCAATCGTCACCTTCCCACATGGGAACACACATACATAAATGCCATGCAATATAGTACGCGAGAGGGAGGGGGGGGGGGAGAGAGAGAGAAGTGTTCATTATAGTATTACAGAACAAAAAGGATAGAGCTGTTGGTAGCTCAAGCTGCAACATATATATATATATATATGGGTTCGATCGGTTTCACGGAGCCATCAATACTTCATTTTCTATGTTGGGACTTTATCTAAGGTTTCTCTTCTCACGAAAAAGATCCCTTCCCTCTTTCTCCCCAAAAAACATGACAGTATATCAGACAAAATATTTTTGTCTCACAAGATTTGGATTATGATGATGAGTTTATATATATATATATATATCACTTTTAATTTAGAGACTGCTTAAAATATTCGGCCAATGAACTATAAGAAACCTTCATTTCATCATGTTCGATTTGATCTTCCATTCCCATGCTAAGAATTATACTATGATAAATGTTTTTAAGTGGCTCAGAAGCTTACTTCAACAGTACTCACGGTGTCAGTGCTGCACACTGGAATATATATGCTTAAGCTCGTAACAGGAGAAAGCAAATTAAAGGTAGTGTCAGGGTCAACAAGGTCCCCCCAGAATATACAAGACTGAAGCATTAAGTTACTGTATCTCCAGGGATTGCCCCTCAAAATAAATTCCACTGCATATAATAATGAATAGTTACGAAATATTTATGGACCCCATTTTCTCTCTGAACTCAAGCAATGACACTGGTCATGACAGAAGCCACATTAACACTACTGGCTTCACTGCATGACGATGATGACAAAGAAAGAACAGCCTAGAAGAAGATACATTATATATGTTACGTAATATTTAGAACGATATTTTCCAGCACACTATCAAAACCAGTAATTAAAGCACACCCCAAGGAAGATAAAAAGAATATTAGCCATGATATAAGAGGCAAATCAGTTAACAAAGATAGTAAAGGAAGTCGAAAACCTAATCATAAAGACCTGTTTTGTTCGAGGATATTGATATTATTATTAGTTCTTTGCCTCTTAACATTCCCATTCTCATCACCACCACCATTCTTCTCCATCACTGCCTTCAAAGCCTCTTGGATGGAGCTTATACAATGCTGATGCTGTCCCTGCTCCTCGCCGCCGCCACTGAACTGATCATCTTCTTCGCCGGTGACGAACAAGACGTTCTTAACGCGTCCGCCGAGCGTGGTGATCTCTGCCTTCACGGTTCTCAACCTTAGGGCCTTCAACGTCTTGATGAGGTCCGGCAGGAGATCGGACCTGTCTTCGCAGCAAAGCGAGGCTTTGATCACGAACCTGCCCTCCTCATCGGAAGCGTCGTCCACCGTCAACTCGTCGGTTTCTGTCGGCACTGGGCTTGTTTCTGCTATTATTGAAGTTTGACGCTTCAGCTCCTTCACATGCTGGATTACTTCTGCTAATAATGAAGCTTTGTCTGTCTACGTACACACAGAAACAAAGTACGGGAAATTTAAAACTTCAGTATATATACTTTCTTGGAGAAATTCTCAGGACTTTTGACTTAGTCTGGAATATATACATAGTACACGCGTACATTTCTTGCAGATAATTAATATTATGCTCTGGTTATTAGAAGATTATGAACCAAAAGTATCCCATGTAAAGAAACTGTTTGTAAACTAGTCAATGATGCAGTAAATTAAAGGCATACATACAATTTTTATTGGAAAATTTCGTAACAAATTAGCTATCATCAGAGCGGATGATAGCAAGCTGCACTATTCATTAACATGACATTTTCGTATAGATTTGTTAACATGCATCAGATAAAGATTTTACCTATTTCGTATCCCAGCAGACAAGAGTGTTTTAGACGGATCAAACACAATAATAATGATAAATACGGCTCTCTCTATATATATTTTTTGGTTCATACCATATAAGAAGTTTGAATATATTGTGTGGGTCAAATGTGATCGATCAGTTAAATCAAACTGATGGGGTTGGGTTTCTTTTTGTGCTATTATTATACAAAACTGTTAATTAAATGGGAATGATGACACTGAACAAATAATAGAGAGGGGTTTCATATTGTGCAACAGGAAGGAATCTGAAGAGGCATATATATGTCTAAATCTGTACACACATATATTTACATAGGTATCCGTATCTAGGATGTGGTATCTAGGGTGTGACAACTGACAAGGATGCTAGTTTGTCTCTCAGGCTTTATTTCTTTTCATTCTCGAACTGAGTATGACTGATCAATACATAACACATTATTGTTATTCCCGGCAAGAAATTCTATTCTGTGGCTTTTCAACTGCCTCTCTTTGGTTTCTCTTTAACCTTACCAACCAACCGACATTGACGCTATTTCTCTTTTCCTCTTGTTCCTCGCTTTATGTCCTCGGAACTACCACACAACGGCTCAGAAAAAGGAAAAGAGAAGAAGAAAGCTAACCATATACACACACATATGGGTATAAAATGAAGAAACACCAAGAACTAGAAAAGCCAAAAAGAGGAAAGAAAAGGGATGGTACAATAACACTGTTTTGCTTCTCGTTTTCTAAAGTAAATAGATTCATTCACAGATCACAAACGTTAAAGAAAGAGAGCTTTCGAGTTCACTAAATCTGTTCTTATTATTATACTAATATTCAACATCTCGGGTGTGAAAAAAGATTTCATGTTTTTCAGAAATCAAACTTGACGGTTGACGTTATGAAAAAAAAACAAGGTTAGAGTAATTGATTACGTTAATATGAGAATTTTAGTGATAATTGTGTAGGTTTATACTTACTTTGGTTGTATTGGGCAATAAGCTTCGAAGCTTGGCTAGATGGTTGTTGATTCTCTCTCGGCGTCTTCTTTCGGCTTCGCTGTGGCTCTTTGAAGCAGCGAGGGCCTTGGCGTCCATGATTTCTTGAGCCGTCATCTTGCCCAGCTCGGCTTGGAGGCCGAAGGGAGCTGAGCCCGGTTGACCCACTACGGGTCCGACCCCGAGGGTGTCGGAGATGATCCGGAGATGGTGGTGATCGGAATTGGACGGACCATCGTAAGCGAACTGCAGAGAAGGAGCCCTCCGGTTGAAGAGGCCCGCGTAGAGCGAAGAGGAAGGCGGAGGGACCAAAAACTGCTGGTCGCTGTCTCGGACCGGGTTGAACGAGTGAACAGGAGGGAGAGACCATGGCGGCTGTGGCGGCGGCGGCGGATGAAAGATTGGAGAAACCTCAGGGAACATCAATCCTCTTTCGTTGTTGGTATTGTTATTGTTGTTATTAGAAGAATTACCTCCGAAAACGTCGACGCTTGGCTGCTGCTGGTGCTGCCTCATCATTTGGTGAAGAAGAAGCTGTTCTTGATAGCTCTGAATGTTATTGATGGCTTGAGAAGATGATGAACACTGTCCTTGATCTTCCTCTTTTTTCATCCTTCTATTCGTATGATAACACAACAAAACACAAACTAATCAGAAAAAGTAGAACGCAAACATGGTTTTCTTCAAAGCATGCGCGTGTGTGCAATTAACGGATTAGAAAACTAAAGAAGAAATGAATGAAAAGTACGACAAAAACCTTGTTCTCTCCGAGATGAATATCAATAAGGGATGTGTTCTTGTTCTTGTTCTTGTTCTCTCATGCTGGGTCAATATATATACATATATATGATGCAAGTTTCTTTTCTTTCTTTCTTTCTTTCTATGTTTCTGTGAATTTGGTTGAAATCTGAAAAGGGCAGGGGGGGTTTGATGTCTGTGTTAGACTGAAAACTGTATCATTACTTAGCTTGGGAATGTATTGCTGTGGAGGGCTAGAGGGTGAGATAATGGCTCTTTTTATCTCTTTTTTTTATATAAATTTATTTTGTGCTTTTTGTTGGTATCTTTTTGGCATGTTTATTTGTTTTTTCTTTTCTAATTAATTATATTGCACAAGCTGAGAGGGGGAGAGAGAGAGAGAGAAGAGAGAGAGTGCGTAGGGAGTTTTGAGTGCTCATGGCATGTTGTCCCTTTCCTTTCTTCTCACGGCATTCTCTTTATGAACATTCAAATTTGGATTTGAACTCAAGCTGTGTGTGTGGACTATTGATGATTAAGTTTGAGACCAAGTGTTACAACAACAAACAAAATAACAAGCACGCATCAAGCACGCATATACTCTTCTGATCCTATTTATGGGTTAGAAAGAAGTTTTTTTTTTGGGTCATATTTATAAGTCATTTCATTAAATTTTTAATATGAATGTATTATTTTGTCCTTCACTTATTATAGTGTAGGTAATTATCTTTTTTGAAAGTTGTATATATTAAATATGGGTAAAGTTAAAAGTTTGTTATATTTTAACGGATAATTAATGTATTTTAAAATTTTCTTTAGTCTATATAAAATATGCTGAAAGTGCTTTATAAATAAGACTAGAGGAGTATATAAACTAAAAGGGATAATATTCAACTTCTCATCAAGAAAGTTAATTAAGATGTGGAATTCAGTTCTTTCTCTTCAGTTAATCACTTTGTCTTCGTTGAAGCATGCATATGGAATTCATGAAGCATTATTCCATGTTATATTTATAGCTGAGGATCGATGAAATGTGATGATTTAATTTGTTGCGTGAAGAGATGATAGTGATTAGTGACTAAGAAGGGGGCAGTAATATAGAGAGAGAGAGATTAGAAGAAACAGAAGAGAGAGAGAGACAGAGAGGACAAGACAACAAAAGACACATATAGATTGTCGACCGACCAAAAGCAGCAAAAAGCCTGAGAGGGGGAAGAGAGTACCATCATGATAAAAGGCGTACCTAGGCCTTTTCTTTCTTTCTTTCTTTCTCATTTGTTTCAAAAGACCAGTGTTTTATTTACTACTACATATTTAGAGTAAATATTTGGAGCAACTTTAGTAATTAGTGTAAAAGGAATTGCCCTTTTAAGTAGAGAGAGAGAGGGTGATGTATAGTTAAATATATACACACATACAAAGATACAGAGAGTGATACAGGGAGCCCCCCCACGCCCTAAAGGCAGAGGCCACGTTGCGAGGGAGTCGTTGGCTAAGAATGTAAGTATAATCCCACGCCACCTTTCTACTTCTCCAAGACCATCTCATCATTGTGTCTTGGAACACACTCCTCTCTTGCTCTCTCCCTCTCTCTCATCAGTCTATTGGTATTTATGATTGTTAGACTAAACTCTCAACATTAAAGAAAAAAAGAGAGAGAGATAAAAATGAGTTATGAACATAGAGATAGAGAAAACTTCAAGATTTCCTACGATAGCTTCAATATAAATGAAATTAAAAAGAAAAAAAGAAAACTTCAATATAAATGAAATTAAAAAATTGTATTAACTTAATACATTTCTGATATGCGAAAATGTGTTACAAGCTTTTATGGTGTTACTATTGAAATTTGAAAGAGTTTCTCCTCGTCCAAAACCCATCCTTTGTAAGTAAATCAGATGGTTTGTATATACGAACAATTAATCATTAATCAAAGCTTTCATGAATAGTTATGATACAAGGTTAGGGGTTGCATTATACGCGCATATATATATATATATATATATATATATAGCTGTTATCAAATTAAGGTTGCCTACGATAGCTCACCCTTTAAAATTAAAGAAATAAGATTTTTTTATAAGCTAAATAATAAATCTCACCTTTAATATAACTATTAATTTCAGCGGGCTCATATGTGTACATTATAGATTTCGCATTTTTAAAGTCTAAGATCAAATTTACAATCTTTTATTAATATGTGCTTTGAGATTTACTGGATTTAACTCGATATAGGAAGTATCATATTATATTGTTGAGCTTAATTAAGTGGTGCATAAATGAAATGAAACGACCCCTAAATTTAATTCTTGGGATTTTGAATTAAGATGTGATGTTAAATCTATTTATATGAATCTTTTTCATCACTTATATCGGTTGGACTCTTCCCTCTTTTGGAAATCTAACAATGTGTAATACAAGTCTCTTCTTGTTTTAATTCAATATTGTATGATTCACTTTCCTTTTCAATTTTTATCAACATAATTTGACAGTGAATTTATATATAATAAAACCATATTAATATGAAATATTATACTGATGATATATTTAAATATGCTAATTGATCTGATAAGTTTTAAGAAAAAAGGTTCCCCTGTCTTGTCTTGTCATGCAGGAAATGTAGAGGACAAAGCTTTTCAATGTGATTTACACATTAATATATTGTTGTTAGTATGTGTGGGTACATATGTAACCATATGACAATTTAGTATAAATACATACATCAAATTTATATATCGGCAACTAAATACCATTAGTGTCTTAAATTGGTTGATGTTTTAAACTAATATTTAAAAAAACCAATAAAGAAAGTTAAGGTTTGTTTGATATTTTTAATTTTCTCATAAAATGGTCTGCTATTACAATGGCGTCTTTGATTTATGACTAACCTCTCTTTATTTAATTTAAATGCTTCCAATCCAACAAATATTAATTAATCTTAAGTCCAAAATGACTTGAGGATATTTTGAGTTATAATTATAAAAGATATTTTTGAAAAATAATCAGCTTTATTACATTCGTTTTTTATTAAAAGTATTGTACTTTGAAGCATGATTACGACTTATAATTTCAAACGGAGAGTGTATAACACTAAATATATACATATACATGTGTGTGTGTGTGTGTGTGTATGCCTCTAATGTCGTACGCACATATAAGTAATTAATTAAGCGAATGATCTATTGATCTTTATCTTGGAAGAAGTGGATGTGGTCCAATATATTATTTTATGGATGAAGGACAGATTAAATTGGAAGAAGGAAGAAAATAAAATTTTAAGCTTTAATTATTTGAAGTGGAACATTTGGAAATAGCACCAACTGTGAGTGTGACTAAGAAAGACATGTTGCGCTGTAATAATAATGGCGAATTGTCTGTTAATTTTTACATGCCAAAAATTATATATATTCTCTCCATGAACATGTCTGTCGGCAATTATAAGTATATATGCATGTTTTTTTTTTTTTTTAATAAAGACACACACATTTTTCATACTTTAATTTTGGTCAAAAAAAATATTCATACCTTAATTAATACAATAAACTTCATAGGAGTTAGATCTTGAACATGGTTTGATCAGAAAAAAGGTTAAAGGAGGTTATCATATATTGTAAATCCTTTGATGCTAACACTCCATCGGGATGAGAAGAAAATTAATTTTCCCCTATTTTTTTTCTTAATTTTCTTTCTATACAAATAGAGGATAAGTTAGTTGTACATGTTTTGTTAATTAAGGCTTCCGTGCATGCGCTGAGGGTCTCAAAAATAAATTATATTACTACTATTTAAATATAATCTAAAAAACATATAATCTTTTTATAGATTTAATTTATAGGCTAAATTATTTCTTTAGTCATTTATATTTACATTAAATTTCATTTTATTTTCTTAAGTTCATAAAATGTGTTTTTAGTCCTTCAAAGAATCAAAGTTAACACTGTTAGTTTTGTTTAACAGGAAATACTAACTCATCAAACTTAAGTGATGATTATGCAATTAAATGCTGACATAACATGCTTAAATTTTAATCTTTTTAATATAATATTTCTATATTTTGAGTCGTGCAGATTAAAAAAAATTTAAATGAAAACAACTCTATCTTTGTGGATGCTTTGTCAGTATTTAATTACACATCTATCGCTTAAGTTTGATCCGTGAAATAAAATTAACAGTATTAAGATTGAAGGAGTAAAATAGCATTTTACAGACTTACAAAAGACTAAAATAAAACTTGATACAAGTACAAAAGACTAAATGTATACTTTAACTTAATTCATATTAATGTATCAATTGATATTGATAATGTTATAATAAAGAGATGATGAGTTAATTAAATTTAACGCAAATATTGTGAACATGACTTGACTTTGGACTTTTTAGTTTTAAAAGCAAACTTAATCGTACGGAAGAAATCTTGGTGGAGCCTTTCACATTTGGACTGATTGTTTTGTCTAAAAGAAGCTAGTTTGTTAGAGTATCATTTTGATGGGATGCATATTCTGTAAGAATAATATATAAAACAAATACAATATATGATATATCCTTGGCCACTTCTTATAATATATAAATTTGTCTTTTTCCCCTCAATGATATAAATGAGTCAAGAGTTGTAATATAATCTTTATGACTCAAATTTCATTATCGTTATTTGAAGAATAAGCCAAAGGATAACATAAACAGTTCATAAAGAATGACTGGGAGAGAAGAAAAGGAAAAAACAAGGAAAGAATTGGGAGTTGGGGGATGGTTGGTAAGATATTGTTCTCTTATAATTTGACAACACATGAAAAGGCCACACTCAACAACACCAAATGGAAATGAAAACGAAAGTGAAGATAGAAATGGAAATAACCTTTTAAAGTAAAATGTGCTTTATTGAAGTCAGACAAAATTCTTAATAAACATTTATATTTATATATATAATAAAAAAACCAAATTAACACAGCTTAATTAGGCCTGTTTTATAGTTTTTCTGAATGTTTTTCAAAACAAAGAGGCTAACATTTTAGACAGAGCAAAGAAAAGAGATAAATAATCATGAAAACAAACTAGAAATTTAAAACAAAAGCATGATTAAAATATGAGGAAGTGGAGTGATTTTTTTCTTTAATTATGAAACCAGGTGAGAGTTTTAGTTTCAGGTTGAAGACATGGGTTTTTATATCTCAATAATACTATTTATATCTAA